GATTTTGGATTTTTGAGATATTTTGACTTTTTGAGATTTATGCAGAATCTATTCTATATATGGAAGTAAAAAAAGTATCTAGTTATGTGTATATTTAATTAAAGAATAAATCTGGGTGATTAAAAAATTTCAGATTTTAAGTAAAATAATTTTGTTTTTTATGAAAAACTATTTTGACTTTTTTCTTCAAAATTGTAATTTCGGGGTCTCAAAATAATTTTGTATACAAGTATAATTCGAATACCTATCAATTATATTACCAAATTTTCACATGACTGTATAATTTTGTAAAGAGTAATGACTACACTTTCTACTACTCTATCTATTACACTGTACATACATTACACTATTGAATATACTATTGATTATGCTGTACACTATGCTGTTTATTATGCTCAGATTTACATTGATAGTTTTCTAAATATATACTAATAAAATATAAAATTAAGCTAATAATATATAAATAAACTAATAAATGTATGATGTTAAAATAATTATATGATAAATAAGATAATAATATAATAATAAATAAAATTTGATAATTAGGGTCAACACTACCAATTGGGTGAAGGTATTTTGTGCCATGACTTCACTGAAAATAGAATAACAATAGGGTAAAATCTATCTATGATAATCAAATAAATAATAATCTAATAATAATATAATAATCTTAATAATTTCTGAAATTAATATTATTATTGATAATTATTATTGATAATTATTATAATGATAATAGTGGTGATGATGATAATTGTAATTATTACTTGTTCCTCTTTCAATAATTAAATTCAACTGAAATTTTAAGTGAAATTGATTTTCAGTTTCATCATTACTTTGATGCCATTAATCTTATTTACCTCAGTTACATTTCTTTCATCATCTCATCTTCCTTTCCCATTGTTGCTGATTTTATTGTTGCTTTCATTGTTATTATTATAATTATAATTATAATTTGCAATCATCAATGGTTTCCAAAGCAAATCTCACATATGAATATGCGATCTCATTCATTCATAAATGAACTTCGTTCAGTAAAATCAAGTAATCTTCATTACATATTTCTTGACATCCTTTTAAAAATCGATCAACTTGTTATCTACTTGATTGATCAATTGATTTTTAAGTAATCTATTAATTTATTAAAATTCGAAATTAATTTTGCCGACCTTTTGTACTGCGACTAAAATGATGACAGATAGATCCAAATATTGCACCCTTATCTTGTATCTGATATAGCATATTGGGTACAGATAAGAGTATTTTACTACTCTTGTCGGATGCCCGATATTCCATATCGGGTGCCAGATAAGGATGCGATATTCGAGCCTTTCTGTTACCTATCTGATACTCGATAGTGATAGCATCAAAATAATTAATAATTTCGGCAGTTACAATTAATTACGAGCCCAAAATAATTTCGACAGCCTAAATAATTTAGGTCGTAATAAATATTTTGCTTGCCAAAAATTTTTTAATCTGCCAAGAATATTTTTGGCAGCCAAAAATATTTTCGACATTTTTGCTTTTGAAAATATAAGCCGATAATATTTTCAGCATTTCGGCAACAACTATGTTATTGTCATAGTTATTATATATTTATTACATCACTATTGCATTATTAAATTTATTGTATAGTTTTGCATTGCAGTATAAATAGTTTTTCTTAAACAACAGAATAAGTAGTTAAATTTGAAAAAGAATTGGACCAAGCGGAAGAAATAAGTAAATTAAATTCTGTACGTAAACTCTACCAGCCTTGATGTAGTATTAAATATCGAACAAACCGACATACATAGATGTATTAATTTGTCGGGGTAAATTTAAGATATTTAAATTAAGCATTAAAAATTGATCCATATAATTTTTAAGGATTAATTGATTGTGATTTAAGATTATCAATGGATCATTTAGTGATTGGGACAAATTTTTATGTTTAGAATAAATTTAAATTGTGCTTTTGCTTTTAAGACCATTCTGTAGCAATATTTGAGGAAAATCACTGAAACAGAAGTTCACATAACATCGCCCCGTGTGACGTCGAGTGCATAAACATAGCTCCAGTGCTTAAAATACTGTATACCAAAATACCTTAAATATTAACCAAGAATAATTGATAAAGCGTTTTTGGTGCACTAAATTGTTTATTATAATATAATTTCGTTAAGGAATATACCGCGGCACGAATTTCCAGGATTACTTGAATTAGTGTAGGTGGAATTTCTCATAATTATGCTGTAACTCTCATCAATAGTACCCATGACATTCGAACTAATTTAAAATATGAAAATTAAAATCCTAAAGAAGAAATTACACAAAAAAATATAAATATATATAAGGTAGATACATATAAGAAATTGAGTTTTCTAATATCAATGAAAAATTCAAAAGACCAAGCAAGTTGAATTTATATTAATTATAGTAATACTTGAAGAAATTTAGATTTAGATAATACTATATAATCGGGATTTACGAATCAATCATCACGCATGCGACTGCGATTATAATAAACATATTCATATTAATTAATTATTTAAGCTTAATATTTGATTTATTAAAATCTTTATTATAAAATTCTACATAATAAAATCATAAAATTCCGGAAAGCCGGAAAACTTAATATATATTTGTATATATGCATATTTGATATTTACTTGATGTATCCTTCTCTCTTTGATATTTAAAACGAAATATATAAATAATTTTTTGCGAAGATATAAATTAATTAACGAAAAAAAAATACGAAGTTTATGAATTTGTTGCATCGATTGCATTAATCTACCTTAAACTCTTATATTATTTGTGGATCAAAAAACAAATAATGTCATCATATAAATGAAAAAACAAAAACGATGGAGGATCGTTTTTAACTTTTATCGAAGTTTATTCAATGATATTCGTTCATATGGTCGGAGATCCTACGATATGAAGCTTGTTCAATCCTGGAAGCACCATTCCAAATAATATCGGAAACAAGTTTCATTACCCTATGATCCGTAGTACGATTAATTCTATTGATTTCTAATGAAACAATGTTTCGATATAAGAAGTAGGCTAAATGTCGAGGACGACGTCTACCTCTAAAATTTCTTCTGTGGACTTGGTGAGCTCTTTGCAGTGCTATGGGAGGAGCAGGAAAAATATTGACTCTTTGAATACGATTGACTAAATCCATAGTCGAAGTCCACAGTTCATCAGTAGACATTGTTTAATGGTTTTTTTTTATGGCCGTGCTTTCAGAATTTTATGGATTTGTTAAAAACGATCAACGAGGATTCACTGATGAATTTTTTTCTAATTTATATGAAAAGATGATACATTTTTTTTCAAATTGCAGATACTAAAAAGGGCAAGACTTGTTTTTGATATTTGCAGAATATTTTAATTACCGATACTTATTATGCAAATCAATGTTATTCTTGTATTACATAATAATAAAGCGTCACTCGTGAAAAGGTAATGATATTGCATTATCTTATATAAAAATACACAAACATATGCAAATGCGCCTTTGACAGGATTGCCTAAATAACATTATTTATGATACCTTTTTTTTTTCTTAAGATAAGAAAAAAAAACAATTATATTCTAAAATTCGGAATTTAGATGTTTAAGGAGATCTCTTGATTTCAATAAACAATGTACTCATCAATAAATCTTTTTGACATTTTGTTTGTTATACTTCATTCGGAATATTTTTGAACTACCGAATTTATTTTGTTTATTGAAACGAAAAAATCCGTTATAAAAGGTGTTATTTGGTTAGCGATAATTGAACTTTCAAAAAATACTTTTTATATACTAATCAGTTCAGTTTATGACAATGAAAAAATGTTGAGATATTGAAAAGCACGAATTCAAATAAGGAATAAATCTTGCACGTTTTCATTATAATGGTGGTCATTTATTTATTAGAATACCAGTTAATTTGAATTTTTTTTTTCGGAGTACGGCTTATCTAAATGTTATCAGAATGTTATCAGAATGTTATCAGAATTTTATCAAAATGTTATCAAAGTGTATCGGTGGTTATTAAATTATAGAAGAAAGAACAAATTTTGTTATACTCTAACTTAATTTGAATGAATGATAAGATTGGTTAGAATTTAAGTTCGCGACTGAAACCAATTAATCTCCTTATTTTTCATAACAATGAAACATGTAAAAAATAAAAGGAAATATTAAGAATAAAATAAATCAGATGATCGAAGATGAATAAATAAAATAAATGTAAAAAAAAAAATGTAAAAAAAAAAATGTAAAAAAAAGTCGCAGTGCATACGTAAAGAAATATATTATTGATGTTTATTATTATATAAAAATGCACTGCATTGCATAACTTTAGTATCATTGAGATAAGGAATATTTTCTAAATTAAATAATTTGTTTCTTTGTACTTTCTTCATGTCAAAAAAAAAAAAAAATTTTGACATGTCTTTGTGTCTTTGTGTCTTTATGTCTTACAAGAATTTGCAAAATGGTAATTGTATAATACAGTATGTTTGATATTTCGCGATTTGGTATTTTAAACTTTGGAGTTTCACAACGGATCTATGTAAAAAAAAAAAAAAAAAAAAAAAAAAAAAAAAAATAATGAGGCGCCAAGAAAATCGTCATTTAATCTGAATAACAATTGTAGACATTTTATTACCTTTTCTAATTAACTTATTTTCTTTATATGAAAGTTTTTAGTTAGAATATTTACTATCTTACAAGGCAAGAATACATCATAATACACATAATACAGTAAGTATCATGCAAATAAAAAAAAAGAATCTCATGTATCACGATTAGTTACGTGAATTAGGTTAAATACGTCTTGATACATTTTAAGTTCATTACTCAATCATTTTTTAAATTACGTAATTTATTTATTTCTTGTGGTTTCACTGGTCCTGTGATCTTGAATATATAAATATATAGAAACCATTTTGATCCTAAATTATTATTTACTGCATTTTTAATTAAATATAGAAATATTGAACGAGCTACGGAACTAAAAGAAATTAGCGACGTTAATAGATAAAATTTAACCATGAAACTAAAAATCAGGAAGCTAAAATCAGAAAGCTAAATCAAAGAAGCTAAATCAGAAAGCCAAAGTCAGAAAGTTAAAGTCAGGAAGCTAGAAACCAATTCTGGTATATAATTCTGGTATAGAAGGGAAAGATGAAATTAAAATAATTTTTACATACGATAAGTATATAGCAATAGAATATTATGCATGTATTTAAATAAATATTTTTATATTTATATATATATATTTATTTATTTATTTATTTATTTATTTAAAGGATTAATAATTTTAATCAAAATTTTTTAAATTTTTTTTTTAAATTAAAATTTTTTTTTAAATGAAAAATTTTTTTTTGATTTAGGAAAAAAAAAATGCAATTGTCAAATCTGAGAAATATTATAAAAGTAAGGTATTATCGATATTATAGGATTGTCCTTAAAATTTTTAGAATTAACAATATTATTTAGATCATTCATCGCATTTTCGTTTATTTCTTGTGGTGATTCCTCGAATAAAATGCCAGTAAATAGTGTTAGCACCAATTGGTAATTATTTTTATTTGTGTTATTTGTTTCCTCGGATGTAAGAAGTATTATAAATAGATTCATCATTTATCGAAGTGGATTGAGAATTATTTATATTATTGACCTCAAAAGATAAAGATCTATAAATCATTTTTTCTTGTAGTGTGATGTATTGAGCTATAATAGATCTGCTACGCGAGAAATAATTTCAATCGTGAAGTTACCATGTAATTGAGCCTCAAGCATAACGTTTATTATACTTTTTGAAAAATCGGTACGTTGTAATCCTTGATTATTTATTATTGATGACGTATACTACCGTGAATAAGCACCATTTTTTGGATAACATTTTTTACCTGAAATCAAGTGTGGTGCTTATTCTCGGTAGTAAATTTATATTTAAATCATAAGATAAATAATAATTTTGATCATATATAAATCATTTTTTTCAAATTATTACTGTTGCTTATACACAGGTGGTGCTTATTCTCGATAGGGTCGATAGGATACAGTACTTTGTTTCGTAAATCCATTACGTACTTATTGAGGTGATAAACTAGTATTCATGATTTATTTTATTAATTTTTTTTAAAAAAAAAAATTTATTACAATCCCTGGGGAAGAGAAAAATAGTTCGGCATTAATATTAAATTTCTCACGTTTTATTAACATAAGTTTAAACTTTCGTTTTCCTTCTATATAATTTTATATGAGGATATATATAAAGATTAAGATAAAGTGATAAGGATCATAATAAAGGACGCATATTTATATAAACCCGACTTTGATATGATAATTTTCATAACGATTTCTGGGACCTAATGGCGCAGTGAATCATGATCACCCAATTTGGTCTCCTATATTCCCATATACACCCTTAATAGAATTTTTGATGATAGAAGTTTCGAATGACAGAAGTTTTGATGGTAAAGTGTAATAAAATTTTCAATCGAGAATAATATTTATGACGTATTAGGATCAAATGTTTCATTAAAATTTAAAATAGGGCCAAATTCTGATGAAAAATTGACAAATTAGATTTTATCTTCTGAACATGACTAATAACCATTTAATCAATCAAACAAATAAGTTATTTAAATTAATATGGCTTAAAATGGTTTATAGCTGATCCGTCTAAGATCGGCATTATTTTCGATCATTTTATAATAAAATTTGGGATAAGCTATTTAATAAAGCTATAATATAGTTTTAGTTTGCATCTGTTGGCGTAAAAGTATAATATAAAAAAATAAAAAATTGATTTTTTCAGCACATAAGAAAGTATCTTTTATTTTTTGAAAAATTTACCAGACTTTTTACAAAAAAAAAAAAAAAATTCCCAAATAGCATAACATTTCATCGACGAGTATATTGTACGCCCTCCAGATTCCAGCCTATAGTAAAATATATATAAATTTGCCCCAATTTTTTATATATAAATAGTACCATTCGTAGATGGATTAGCAATTAATAATTTAAAATAATTATGGCAACTACAATTTATTATTTTGATTATCTTTGTTTATTTAAAATTTTCATTCTGGAGTGTGACGACTTACAAAATAATATTTTTAAACTTAAATAACTGATTTTAATATGATATGAATAATATTAATGAATTAATTAAATTTAATATATAATTTATGAATTATGTTAATGTTAATTATGTATTTTGTAAATTGGTAAAATTTGGTAAAAATTGGGTAAAATTTGTAAAAATTGGGTAAATTTGGTAAAAATTTGGTAAAATTGGTAAAATTGGTAAATTGAGTAAATTATGTAACAAGGGTAATTTAACTGGTTCCATTAATGGTATAAATGAAATAAACAGTAATAGGTAATTATTTTAACAATGAAATTTGGAACCATTAAAAAAAATTTTTTTTTTTTTCTTTCACATACTGGTTCCAAATTCAATCAAAAATATTCAATAACATAAATATTTTATTTAATTAAACCAATATATTTTATAATTATTTTATAAAATATAATTAAATGATATTCATAATTTATATATAATATTTAAGGTTAATTTTGATTATTAAACATGAATTAGTTGGGGTTAGTTTGGTTGGAATTAGTTAGGTTTAGTTAAAATTAGTTATAATTAGTTATGCAAGAAGGAAATCAAGCATAGATAGATAACATAGGTGAACAGATCAAAGATAGGGTCGAATTTTGTAATGCATAGATTTAAAGGATTTGGAAACACATGAAAGGAATTTTATAAATAATGCATGCTACATGACAAAAATTCATACAAACAAATAGAGTGGGCGACAAAATATTTGAATTTTTTGTTTATGTGAAACTGGTTGATTTTTTTTTTTTGTCACTTATTTTTTAAATTTTTCTTTTATGTATGTTTAACCGTAACCGTTATTATTATCACAACCGTTATTTTTTATAAAAATTTTTTATTCTTTGAAATAAACGTTTTAACTATATTATCGGAGATTTATAAAATGTCTCCGTCATCATTTCCAGTATTGTGATTATTTAAAAAAAAAAACTTGAAATAGTCTTGTTGCATTACACTGACTGTATTCACTGGTTGTATTCACTGTATTCAATGTATCTTATACAATCAAATAAAAGTTTATTTTTACACAAAAAAAAACTTAAATATACAGACTTTTTTTTCTTGGCATTTTTTTTAGACCATTAAGAAAACTTTTTTTAAAAAAAATAAAATTCTTTCCATTCTTTATATATTAATCTTTAAAACATCATGACTCAAGCTGTTAATTCAGTAATTGATTTAATGAGAGTTGAGGATGTATCTTATACTCAAAATTATGATCTATTGAAAAGTTTAATTATTAGAAAATATATGAACTCCAAAAAGATTAGAGAATTCGGAATGTATTTTTTTATTGAAGTTTTCAACTTCAAATATAATTCACGACATCCTGACTCCCGAGTTGATAATCGCATTATCAGAAAGGCTGCTACCGATTTTTGGAAAACACAATTAGATTCAAATGAAAGATTGTTATATACACAGTATGCTAATCGGTTGAAATCAGAAAATGAAAGAATAAATTTCAGAAGAAATGATCTTAGTTCAATTATGATCGATGGCACTCCTCCCCTGGGCGGCGGGCATTCAGATGAAAATGGAAGCGAACCTGAAAGCGATTTTCGCAATCCTCTAATTGATGGAAGTAACTTTGAATAAATTACATCCAACACAATAAACCTTTTAACATATCAAAAAATATCAAACATAATTAGAGTCGCCTGCCGTAATTAATTCCAATCTATTACAACCATTTACGACATATAGATTTGTATATGGTTGTAATATTTACAACTCTGTTAAAAACAATTACGGTACGGCAGGCAACTCTATTGTTAATCAATCTCTAAGAGCATTACACACAGATATAACAGATATATTACTAATTAAATATTGAAAATATTGAAAATAATCCTGAAATAATTTTTATAAAGGAAAAAATTAAGGAAACGTAAGCTTTTTTTTTTTTTATTATTATGGATTATGAAAAATGAAAATAAAATAAAAAAAAAATTAACTTGTCGATATAATCAACATCAACATCAACATCAACACAACATTGTAACACCACTGAAAAAAAATTTTAAGTTTTTTTTCTTTTGTAATCAAGTTTAAAATATTTCATTCAAATAATAATAATAAATTATAAATTTTTGTCTCATGACCAAACTACTCCCAAAAAGAAAAAAGATCCACTACTAAACATTACCGTTAAGAATTAAATTTATCATTTAATTTATCGTATTTATCGTTTCCCAGTTATTTTATAATAAATATTGATAAATTATCATGTGACAAAAACTGGTAATTGTTATTGACGGTAAGTTATAATCTTTGTTTATCAATTGTTTTATCAATCTTTTATCCATAACAGGGGTAAATCAAAGAATAAAAGAATGCACCATGATAATCAATAACTCTAAAAAATTTTCGATACTTATTATTACATATTATTTCTTATTATTGGTAGTGCATTTTAAAATATTTAAGCATGTGGAATAACGAATATCTTAAATTATATGGATTCGTTTTAAATGTTAAAAATGTTAAAAAGGCGTTGGGATGAAAATCAGATGATGATTCTTTTCCTTGTTCGGAAAACCGCATTTAATAAAATATATTATCTTATCATTTACCTTAAAATTAAAAATTTAGATAAGTGATAACTAATTAAACTAATTATAATTAATTATATAATATTAACTATATATATTATAATCTTTAATTCGTGTATATAATAAATAGAGAATGGGCAAAATTTGAAATCAAAGTATAATTTTAAAATACACACTAAAAGTTAATAATATGATCAGTTACTTTTAGAAATTAAGGTGAATTTTTCTTTAATTTAGAAATAATTTTTAAATTTATTATGTTGCTAATAGATTATTCATTATTATTATATTAATGCATATCCTCAATTTTATTATGTGAATAAATTTTAATTATATACATATATATATATATATATTATATTCTTAATTAACACATATATATACAAACCATAATCATTTAAATAAATATTTAACTTACATATGTTGGCAAAAATTTTCGGAATGATCGAAAGTTAACAAAAAAAAACCAGATATTATGACTAATTTATTATTATATTATATTATCGCACCACATTCTCATCACCGAGAATTGTTAACCACAAAGTCTTTATTAATAACTCCAAATTCAAAGGATTCAAAGATAATATTATTATCATCTGACGGTGATAAAAAGGTAATTAATGTAGTGAAACCAAAATAATGACAGAAAATTAAAAAAAGCGGTAAAAAATCAATTATGAACCCTTGCACATTAACCAAATAAATAACTATTTTTGGATTGAGAATGGCGCATTTAAACGTAAATATGTTAATTTATTGCGAAAATACGTCGCGCAGGAAATTTTAAGAATTTAAAGTCACACACAAAAAAAAAGGGATTTGGAGAACTCCTTGGTAATTATGTCACATTCCCTTTTATTTATTATATTTTTATCATTCAAGTTGAGTTGTGTGTTACTGCGTCATCCCTGAAAATATAAATAAAGGAAAACAAGAATAGCTAATTGTGAAATATATTGTCATAAAGAAATTTATTGAAGCACCTAAGGAGCTTCGTGTTTCTATTTGTGCATCCATATGGTTTATAAAATATTTTATTATATTCAAAATGGTTACAATAAAATCTTGTTTTTTTTAGTAATTTATTTTATTGTGATTTTTGCACAATAAACATTATAAATATTTTTTTTTTCTCTTTAAAATTTTAATTAAAGGGATTAATAAATTTTAACATAGAATCATTTCCCGTGATCAAAAATTCTTGTTTTCCAAAAATATCTCGCATCGTGGGAAAAAAAATGGTAATATGGAAAATAAAATATGATTTATTTTGCAACAATATTTACCTACACATTAAGTAGTAGTTTTAACATTAGTTAAATTATTCGAGTTTAAAAAAAAAAAAAAAAAATTTTTTTTTCGAATAACAAAAAACTATCAATCTATCCGAAAGCTCCGTAATTCTTTCTTACGGAATCTTTTTTACATAATTCCGCCTTTACCTTCACTGATCCTTAAATAAGTAATAAATTGTAACGTGTTAAAATGCGAAACTTGATTATAATATTTTTAGTTAAATAAACTATAGCCCACGTAATACAAATTTCTAACTATATGAACCCTGATCAACGTTATGCATTTTAAGTACATTTAACGGATTATGGGCTCCGAAAAAAAAAAACAAGATAAAATCTTATATATATAATAACTTAACTCATCGAACGTTGAACATTAAATATAATTATTATTCAAATTAATTAAATTATTCACTTGCAAAAATGTCAATGCAAACAATACAAAATTCATCTATGGATGATTTAGCGGATTTATTAATTAATAATTTGGATAGAAGTAAAATATTTCCACCATATTTTAATAAACCAAGAGAATTGATCAATCCATGTCATGGACATAATAAAACACCACCAAGACCACCAAATGGTTTTCTATTGTGCAGGAAGAATGTACATAAAGAAGCCAGATCACGGGGTATATGTAATATGAGAGTGATTAGCAAGGTTACTGGAATGTTGTGGAGACAAGCTTCGCAAGATGAAAAAGAACAGTATGAAAAATTAGCAATAGAAGTTAATAAATTACATTCTCAACGATATCCGGGATATAAATATCGACCACTTTCTCGCACAAAGATTTTAAATTCTATAAATTCATCATCATCATCATCATCTTCTTCTTCTTCTTCTTCTTCTTTTTCTTCTTCTATTGTTAATACTACCATTAATAATACAGACAATCATATCAATAATAATCATATCAACAATAATATCAATAATAATAATATCAATAATAATAATATCAATAATAATAATATCAATAATAATATCAATAATAATAATATCAATAATATTGCTACAATTGCATCAATACCTATGTCACATTTGTCGTCACATTTAACGTTTCCATCTTCATCTTCATCTTCTTTTGATTCGAAACCAACTTTCACCGAATCATTAAATAAATTTACGCAAGAAGACATTGATGCACTTAATTATTTTTCATACTTTCCACCACCTAAGAGATATATGCCATTTACGGAACCTGTAATACAACGAAATCATTAAAGTGTCTTTTAATAATCATTTTATTCGTAACAATATCAATAATAATAATATTATTATTATTTATCTTATCTTTAACACGCACACGCATTATTAGATAAACTTTAATAGACAATAGTTATTGCATATAAATAAATAATTCTATTCTCTATAAAAATATGATGTTTTATATATTTTATAATCTTTAATTTTTATAATTGTTAATATTTTATATATTATAATAATAAATAATAAATATATATATTTTTTAAAATTGAAAATGTGTACAAATGAAATCATGAGATCTCTCACGAGTTAAATGACATAATAAAGATTGGTCTTTTTAATAAATAATAATAAATTTAAATAAATTTAATAAATTTGTAAAGTTGCTCAATCGAAAATTGTAAAATGTAAAGGTAAAAAAAATAATATGACAAAAATATATAAAGAATAGTAAAAAAAAAAAATAATAATAAAAATATAAAAGTAAAATTTTATAAAAATTTCTGATAAAAAAATAGTTTTAATTTTTCACGTACACATTTATTTAATCCATTTGAGGAAAACAAGAGTAAGAAATTAATAGTAAGAATTACTTTATCGAAAGGTAAGTCAGTCGTTGAATTTTATTTATTTATTTTACTTTCGCGGAGATTATTTAGCTATTTGAGACAAAACAAATGGTTTTAGAACGTTATATAATTATTATATAATTATTATTATATAATTTATCATCATTATATTATTCATCATTATATTATTCATCATTATTTTTATATTGTTATATTATTATTATTATATTAGTAGATTATCATCATATTATTATATTATTATTTATTATGTGCATGAATTAATGTTATTTCAATACAATGCGATATATTAACTGGTTTTGTTTATTATAGAGTTACAGAGTAAAAGATTATTGCATGAATAAATAAAATAAATAAACAAATTAATTTCGAAAATCTTTTTATACCTGAAACAAAAATCAAATAAAAAATTAATTAATAATAATAAAGAATAAGTTGATGTCATCAAAGAAATATGTATCAATATATTCTTTGTGATTTTCTCTCGGAAATCATTGTGCCCTGCATTTCATTTCATTTTTTTTTTTCATTATCCAATAACTAGAATTATTAAACAATTGTTTCAGATATTATTCCCGGGGAGACGACCGTAAAAAAATTACACTAATTTTATTAAACTTTATTTATAAATATTATTACATATCATTAAGTATTATAAATATTATTAGGCACATAAAAATTTGCTTTGTAATTTTATTTCGTTATTTAATTTTTATAAAGAAATAATCTTTGTGCCATAAATGTTGCATTATTCTCCGAGATATGCTAAAGTCCGGAATGATTATTTATTAAATTATTAAAATTGGTTATAATCCCGATGGATAAAAATAAAAAGAGAATTACTATTTTTATCTAAAATTAAAAGTTACGTTAAACAAATTAAATAAATAAATATAGTTGATGTTTTTATTATTAATATATTATATAATTATTTATAAAAATTAATTTAAATATATGTTTGATATTACAAAAATAGAATAATAAAAGTTAATAATAATAATAACAAAATAATAGAATAACGAAATGATAGTAAATTAACTGTTTGAATTGATATAACATTAATATGTTATTTATTTTTATTTATGTTATTTATGTCTATTTTATATTATGTTATTATCCTTATTCAATACTTTCATTTCATTTTTTTATCATTTTTTGCATTCATGTTATTGGCTTGAAAAATTCATTGTTATAATGAAGGAATATGTATAAATAGGAACCTTTGTTTTTCTGTCTTCTTCAATCCGTGATTTTGGATTATTAAAATTTATATTTTTACTTGTCTCAAACTGATATTAAAACTCTTTAAAATCTTTAAGCCATTTTTTTAACTTAAGAAAATTCGAAAGCAAAAATTTATCAAATTAAATTTTAAGAATAATGGTCGTCGTAGTAGAAAATATGCAAAATTCTTCTTTAAATGATTTGGCAAATTCATTTCTAAATTCACTTGAACGTAATAAAATTTTTCCTCCTTTCTATAATCGTCCAGAAGAATTGATCAATCCTTCGAAAGCCAAAACTTCAGGAATACCAAGGCCACCAAATGGTTTTCTATTATGTAGGAAGAATGTACATCAACAGGCAAAAAAACATAATATATTTAACATGAGAGTAATTAGTAAAGTTACTGGAATATTATGGAGAGGTGCTTCCCCTGATGAAAAAGAACAATATGAAAAATTGGCAATCCAAGTTCAAAATTTACATTCTCAACGACATCCCGGTTATAAATATAAACCTTCGCGTACAAAACCTTCTCCATATCCTACTAACGCTACTACTACTATTAATACTACTACTACTACTACAAAGTGTCACCAAAATCTTCGTTATCAATCATCTTTTATTATGCCGCAACGTTCTGTCGTTATGCCAACAACACAAAGTCCTCAAATATGCTCTCCTTATTATCCGATAATTCCTTCCTATCCTGATAATAATTATAATAATAATAATTTTAATAATAATAACAATAATAATAATAATAATTATAATAATTATAATAATAATGATAATGATAATGATAATAATAATAATAATAATAATTATAATAATTGTGATTTTACCTCATCAGAAAATTTAAATTTAAATTTACTTTCGATTTGTTATTTAGATGCTTTAAATTTTTAGATCTTTATTTCTTTATTATTATTTTATTTCACAAGAATTTTTTTATAAAGATAATTTCCCTTTTCTTTATTTTCTTTATTTTCTTTTAATTTATTTTCAAATGATTTTTTTTTTCTTTAGTAGTTTTAATTATATGTAATTTAAGAAACTAAAAAAAGATATTGTAAAATAAGGAAATATACAATAATGAATTCAAATATGATACTTTATTTGTTTTCCTAATTTTGTTATTACAAATGTATTATCATTATTTTTATTATTTTTATTATAAATAAAAAAAATATACAGTATATATAATATGAAAATAGATTTTCGTTTATATAAATTGATCCGTTATTTAACACATAATTATGCATGAAATTAAATCTCAAACCTTTCTTCGCATCAAATTTTAAAAATGGAATCATTAATCATGTGATATTTTGTGATTTCTTTCATTTTTATTATGAATTGCAATTTTATTACGTTTTATAAGGAGATTAAAGAATCGGAATTTTAGATCCGAAAATGTATAATATATAAACTCGATATGCAAACGGTTTTGATACAAAACTATATATTTATATAATTGTTTCCGGTTTTAGTAAATTTATTCGTCCTTTTTTTTCCCTTTTGTATATCTATTAATAGGATTTTCGTATTTTTCATAGTATACGATAAAATAATATTATATAAAAAAAATTTTCTTTTATATTACCTAAACAGGAAACCACATAAAGATGAGCCGCAGTAACTCCCTCCTTTACAAACGATATAGAAACATTTCGGAATCATTTTCGATCTAATTACGTAATAATTATGTAATTAAGGGTCATAAGTTTTTTCACATGACTTAACCATAAAAATAAATAATCTCATAAATGATAAACCCTTTAGTCATAAATAGTTTTTTTTTTCTAAGAAAATAAAATAATCCACCAGAAAAATATTAGTTCATTGATTACTCACTATTCGGTGGCGGAAAAAATACATTCCGATTTTTTTAAGATCTCACGATCCACTTTGATTTTATTTTTAGTAATCACATCAATTAAATTTCTTATTTCTTATTTCGAAGATCCATGTAAAATATTTAATATATAATATTTAAATAATATAATTAGTATTAGCAATCACAGTATCATTTCATTATTAAAAAAAATGACTTAAACACGTATAAAATAAAGATAATTGAAATATAATAAAAATCGTTGTCGTGTTACGTATATAAAGTGAAGTATAAAAATTTAAAGCAATACATGACATCATTTTTTTTACATTTCTTTACATTTCTTATTTCGTGATACTATTTCTGATATTTCTGATATAGTTATTGAAATAACTATATCTGGTATTATCATTTCAATATTTAATATAACAAATACAAATATTTATATAATTCTTTTTCAAAATTTGTTATTTCTAAAAAATTAAGTCGTAAGTCAACTAGTATAAATTTCTTGTTCTTCAAAAGTAAGCGAATGAGTAACTCTGTCGTAATTAATTTATATATATCAATAAAGTTTTTAGAGGTAAGGAATTCCTTAAGCAAGCGATCTACATTCCTTTAAGGATAAGGAATTTTCAAAGAAATCATGAATTTTTAAGGATTCTAAGGCCACCAGAAATTTTCCTGATGATATTCATCATTTACATAAATACTTCTAAAGATAAATATGGTATGGTATAGTTGCAATTCAACCTTTTCTTATAATATTAATTTATAATTTTTATCTGTAAAAAGTCGAGCGTCATGAATAAAATCATTTTTTTTGAAATGGTTCGAGTTGCATGATTTGCACTAGTATCTTCTTGTTATACTTGACATTTCTTTTATTCACTTTATGATGCATATCATTTTCAAAATGGTTTGAGTTGCATTAAAAGTAATATATCTGAATTTGCGTTTGAAAAATTTGTTATTATATTATATAATTTTATATAAGTATTTTTTATATACAAATAATATAAATAAAAATGAATATAATACAAATGTTTAATTTTAAAATTAACAATCAACCCACGCTAATTAAGAGCTCTATTTTATTTTGATTCTTTTAATCCTTCTAGTCTACATGAACTTTTTTTGCAAAAGGTGGTTTAAACATAGATTTAAAACAATTATATGTTGTTACGAAAGGCGAAATAAAAATAGTTTTGAATGTTGTCATAGCGAGATTCCATAGACATTTAATAAGAAAAGGTAATTTTCTTCGAGTATAATTAACTTTAAGTATAACTTTTTCATCTTTATATATTGCGGTCACCGCTGCAACATTAAATCCTGAATTTGGAAATTGAATTTTCATTGAATCTAAAGCAATAGAATCATCGACCACTTGATTTCGCCGAATTTCTTTCGCAAAAACTCCAATCCAATATTCAGGTTCGATTTTAAATACAGCCGCAGATTCTGGTCGAAGATTCCGTTCAAAAATAGTTGTCCCTCCCCACATCCCTATTCCACAATCGGTTGGACGACTTGATTTATTGATTATTTTAATTATATTAGAGTTAACTGTATCAGGTAATGGAATTAATAATTGGGAATCATCTTCCTATAATAATAAGTAAAATTATAAAAATGAAAATAATAATTAAATATGTAAATAATTAAATAAATTAAAAAATTATTATTTACAATATTATCTCGAATTTGCCATGAAGTCCCAAGAGAAGCCATGGCAAGTTTTTTATTGACATATGTGCCACCTTGACCTCTTTTTTGACTGTACTCAGCTAATGCAACCAAATATTTATCAAGATTCCAACTTAAAGTTGAAACTGCTCCACTTGAAATTGAAGTTATAAGCCATGAAACACTATCCGAAAATGGAGTCGAAGGCATTTTTTGATAAACACAAAAGGCCAAAGCTTCACCTATGCCTGTATTGTTTATCACGTCAATATAGTATCGAGTCATTTCTGCAAACTTTCAAATTTTTTTCCTTACAAGAATTTTTTTTTTTTTTTTTTTAAAAAAAAAAATAAAAGTTAATGTTACTCAAGTTTTTTTAAGAACGGAAATTATATATTTATATATATAAAAGTAACTTGATTGTCAATCGGGAAATTCAGGATATAACAGGATATAACAATTTTTTTTTTTACGCCAAAAGTAATTTAAAATTAGAAAACTTTGAATATTTTAAAAATGTGTTGCATAATATCTTGTGCATTTTTATTTAACAGGAATTTGCATATTTGCATACATTATTCTTCTGTACATAAAATTAAAATTTATAAGTAAATTTTGAAATGTATTCTTACATTTTATACATTTTGTATGACATTAATATTATAATAAAGTTTTAAATGTTTTTTTTTATTGAAATTAGCAAACTAACATTTTTAAATTAATTTCCTCTGTTTTCCTTAAAAAATTCGTTCAAAAAAAAATTCTTAAAAGAATGTTTTAAAAAAAAGGGCAGCTTCGGACATAATGAATGTTTAATCCCTGACCGTAAAAAATAAATCTTAAACATTTTTAGGTAAATGGTTAAAATATTACACGTGAATAACGGATTCTTCGTTGAATCACCGATATCATATATGTATATAATTTGGAGACCTGTGTTCTACGACCGAACTGACGGAATTGCATTTCTAGGATTTCATTTCCAACACCAAATATCACTTTATTAACTTTATAAGATAAAAGTATTCCACAATTGGATATATTTCTTTAGCTATCATTGTCGATCGGGAAACTCCAAAGATCGACATAAGTATAGAAAGATCAAATCTTAAATTGTGCGACAGATATTTATTTCTTTAAAAAATAGGTTATTCATATTTTTAATTGTAGTTCGCTTAGATCTAACTTTATTTAAACAAAAAAGACGTAAATCGTATAAAATATAAATATCGATATTGAGGATCAATCACTTTTTTAAATTAATTTAAATTTTTGAAAGAAAAATTTAACGTATTAGGTTTCTTTTCCACTAAATTTTTTTCACTAACAGCATTCGCATTCAAGTTATACTTGGATAAAGAATAAAAATAAAATAAAAATATTTAATTTTTTTTATTGCAAAAATGACGTAAGCGCGTGATAAATTTTTTGTTCGATTTGCGACTTTTAATAATAATAATGATTATTTATTTTTCGAAATAAAAGATTGAAAAAAAAGATTAAAAAAAAAAATAAAAAAAAAATAATAATAATGAAAATTGAATTCATTACCACCAAACGTCCAAACGTCAACAAATATTTGTTAATCTTCGTATACAAATAAAAGAAATGAAAAATTTGGAGAATAAGAGATTATCTTTAACTAATTTGCATTTATTTGATTATCTTCCCGCAAAAAAAAATAGACGAACGGAAAAATTAATCCAAAAAAGGATTCATAATGCTTCTTCTTCCTCCTTTAAATGTTTTAATTTCTTTAATTGTCTTGATTAACAATAGTTAGACGTTAAGATTAGGCAATAAAATCATATCATCGGCTTCTATCATTTCCGCGTGACATCAGATCTTGAAAATTATTATCATTATAATTAAACCTTTATAACCTTTATTATGCGTCTTATTATAAATCTTATAAATCTCGTATTGTGCTTGAATTTGACAATTAGAATGAATGACAAAATGATAACAATATTTTGAGCAAGAATATATTTTTGAAAGTCACTCACGAGAAAACGATTTTTATTGAAATAATAATAATATAATAAAATTAGATCGAAATTTTTTTTTTTTCGTAGAAATCATCATTATTATGCGAAATAATAAAACAGTATTAGAGAAGGAAATCATGAATACAATATCATCGAAGTAATAAAAACCTTAATGTCCTTAAATTTTCAAAAACCATAAAGTAAATTAAAATCTTAAGCCATAGAAGAAAAGCGAAAATTAAAGAATCTATATGCATATAATAAAATTATTAAAATATTAATCAGAATAAAAATAACTTTTTTTAACGAGAGAAAAATTAAAATAAAACCCAATTGTACAATTAAGATTTCCGTCATAAATAAAAAAATGTATAAAAAAAAAACTATTAACAAAAACATATACAAAAAGGAAGGAAATATTAATACTTATATACAAATTGCATATAAAAATAATTACTTAAATTATTAAATAAAGCGAAAGGAATTTTTTTAAATATTAAAAAGAACGAAAAATTAAAATTATCGCGATACCGTGTAATTAATAAAATAAAATAAAATAAAATAAAATAAAATAATAGGCAATCGAAAAATGAAATAAAAAAAAAATAGATAATCGAAAAATAAAAAATCAAAAATAAAAAAATCAAATAACAGATAATCGAAAAATAAATAAAAATTAAATAATAAATAATCGAAAAATAAAATCATTATTGAAAACCAATATCCGAAAGATAAACCATGGTATCTGAAGAATTCGTATAATTATTATTTTGATTGGAATGATAAAAAATATTTTCATTGTGACGATGAGATGCATAAGGATATGGATAATAATAATAAGGGTGATAATAGGTGTAATTATAAGGATTTGGTGGTTGACCTTGTCCATGATATTTTTGCGAATATAAGAGGCTAACTTGATTAGCTAGTTCTTCATAAATTTCTTTTTCTTCCAAGGTGGCATTTCTCCATAGAAATCCCGATACTTTACTAATAACCCGCATATTGGTTTGACCTTTTGATTTAGCTTCATGATGGACATTTTTTCTACAAATTAAGAAACCATTAGGTGGTCGAGTAGGAGGATTGATCCTCTTATACGGAACCGATAATAAATGTTCGGGATTGTTTAATTGAGGAGGGAAAATATTTTTTCTATCAAGAAGATTGATCAACGTATTAGCTAAATATTCCAAAGACATAATGAAATAATAATGGTGATGTAATAATGATGACTAGGACAAGAAAAAAAAAAAGAAATTATTTTTAAAGAACACGATGAAAGGGTAGCAGAGAACGTACAGAAAAAAGTTTTTTTTTTTTTTTTGTAATAATTTCTTTTTTTTTAAAAAAAAAAAAATAATAATCGATTAAAAAAAATAAAGGGAAACTTCTATAGTATTTATAGAAAACAGTATAAATATGATTTACAAACAATTATCGATATTTAGACAGTATTTAATTACACAGAATTGAATAAAATCTATGGAAATTTAAGAAATATTTTTTTAAAAAAAAAAAAATTTCTAAAATAGATTATTAAAAAGAAATCGAAAATAAAGAATTTTTTAATATTTTTCTTTTATTGGACGTGTTTCATTTTGACATCAAAGAAAATTTTTCTATTCATTCTCTGCCACGATTCTTGAAAAATCCAAAAAAAAAACGCGTATCCAATAAAAAAAAAAAAAAATTAAATCAAACTCATTTAAACATATTAAATTTACTAGATTTAACAAATTAAACTTACAATAGTATTAATATTTAATACAATAAACTTATCATAAACTTTGAAAACAATAAATAATAAATAATTTAAATTAACGTTCTTATATGAATAACAAGTAAAACCATTTAATAAATTAAACTTATTTAACATATTAAATTTAACATATATAGCAAACCTTGTATAACAATGACCCAGCAATTGGTATTTATTTTATTCTTATGGGATGTTAATGAATTTTCTTTCACATTTCTAGATTTGGAGCAAATGAATGAAAATAATATAAAATAATGATCTTATTACGTACCTTATTTTCCTTAAAAGTAATATTTGAAGATAACTTTGAATGTGTCAGTGATATATTTTATTTTATTTCATTTTATTTCATTTTATTTTCATTTTATTTCATTTTATTTCATTTTATTTTGTTTTTTATTTTATTTTTATTTTTTATTTTATGTATATTATATATGCTATCATTATATTTTGCATCCATTTAACGATAGATCTGCAACTACTTTATAAAAATCATATAAAAAATTATATATTCAATATAAAAATATAAAAAATGGAAATGGAAATAATTAAATATATAATATATAAAAATAGATAAAATAAAAAGGTCGATACGAAGCAGTTTTTCATACAATGTCACACAGAACTTATTAGCATACAGATAAATTTAGTGGTCCAAAACGCGTTATTAGTTTATTATTTTTTGTATATTATTTGTTCTTTCACTTTTTACATTAATAATAGAAACTTTAAAAGAGAGAATTTGTTGAAATTAGGAAGATTTTACAGATGAAAACAAAAATTTTACAAAAACATTGTGAAAAACCGAACAGTTCCAAAAAAGGTAGGAAAATTTTCTTAAAATATTCATACACGCGAAAATCATGAATATCTTTCATTACATAATTTTTTTTTTTTTTTTGATTTCTTAGTTAATTCTAATTGTTTGTTTTTTTTTAATGTATTTTCAGATTTAGTTGTGTTTGATTATGTATCAATGATTATCGAATTTTGAAAGAAAACAAAAATTCATTCATTCATTTTATTTTATCATTTTCATATCATAAAGAAAAAAAGTTGATGACTTCATGAAAATCATCATATTACATTTTAGAAGCGGGGAGAAAAAGGAATTATTAAAAAAATTCTTTATTAAAGAACATTTTATTTAGTAATTATTGATTTGGTGTCGATTTTTAATTTTCCATTTAATTTTTTCTTCATTACGTATTCATGCACATCTTGTGTGTAGATTTTGACTTTTATTTATCTTTGACGTGATAAATATGGCAAATATTTCCATATGTCGATACAAATTTAATTTTTATTATTATTTCGGAAATTATTTCAGAAATTTCCGAAGGAACTCTCGATAAATAATAAATAAATATTAGATAAGATATTTAATAATAATATAATTATATGTAATAGGCAATAATATTATGTATTTCTTTTGTTACCTTTATTACATCTAGAAATCCACATAGGTTTAATATTAAATTTATGAAAATATTAATATTTGATGACAAATAATAATGTCAGCATTGTTCACACAATCATTATAACTTATTTAAATTGGTAAGAACAGTTATTTGGGGTTTCAATTTTTACAAAAGATAATTGAATTTTTAATTTATGATCGACTTTTTTTTTTGGATCCGAATCAGGAACCCATTTCCGAAAAAAAATTAAATTGTTCATCAATAAATTTTCTCTCTAATTATTATTATTTATTATTATTATAATTATTTTCAGATTGTTTTTCTTTACAAAAATGGAAATTTATACAATATATATTTAAAGATTTCCTTATAATAATGTTTAATATAATTTTTTAGCAAAGATAAACTTCGGAATGATCCTAGAAAGTTAAATGAAAACTTTACCTAAATTCTTTATTATAATTCTTTAAAAAAAGAGAAATCTCACATCATTTTAATTAATATAAATAAAATAATCCCGAATTTTTAATTTATCCATATATATATATTTACTTTACATTCATGTGTATCTAACGGAAGAAAAAATATTTCCTTCCTTTCCAAAATTGTAAAAATAAATGATGACACATCCACAATAGTAAAATAATATTATTATTAGGTAGATAAATGTAATGTTAGGGAGTCGAAATTCCGTCATTCTTGTCATCATCTCCCTTAAAGAAAAGAGCTTCCTTTTATACTGTCATATTAATTCATTCATGAGTTTTGTTTTAGATATTATAATTATGAATTCGAACGAATTTGAAACAGATCACATACATTTAAAATATCTTTTTAAGAATCTTTCATGCGTGTTATATATATTTTTTTTTAATATAACAATTTGACCAATAAAAAAATTTAATGAAACAAGATCTTTGATTATTTATACAATTCTCGGATATTAATTTAATTAGGACCAAAAAAAAAAAAGAAGATTTCATGGATTCTTTTCTTAGTTCCATTGATAAATGTTTGATGAATGACCATTAAATAAAATAAAAAAAAAAGCAACAATCAAAAATATAAGGATATAAGAAAGAAATTATTCAATACATTTCTCTTGATTATCATATTTCTTTCATGTTTCTTCTTTGGATTTTGTATTATAATTATACAACATATAAAATCATTTTCTTTGCTTCATTATATATACACTTCTACTTAAGATATGTTACGGTGCATCTGCTTTTTTATTTATTTAGTTGAATACAAGTAATAATATTAAGAAGGTTAGAACACAAGTTACTAAAAAGAAAAAAAAAATATTAAAAATTTCGGAACACAAGTTTCTAAAAAAGAAATAATATTAAGAAGGTCGGAAGCACAAATTTTTTTTTTTTTTAAAAAAAAAAGTCCAAATTAGTAAAAACATTGTTAGGTAATATATATATTAAAATTTTTTTATTTTTAATTTTTATTTACTTGTATTTTATAATTTTTTATTATTATTACATAATTAAATTAAATTAAATTAAATTTAACTACTTTTATCTTAATTAAATTATACTATACTAAATAAATTAATACTTTATATTTAATGAAAATTAAAATCATTTGAATTATCATTTAAATAGTTGTTTGAATTATCATTTGAATTATCATTAGAGCGAAAGATTGACCAATAATCTAATACTGATGCTTGGTCATATTGGTCATATTGGTCATATGTAAAATTATTATTATTATTATTATTATACCTATATATGGGAGGAGGAGAACTGGAAGATAATGAAGAAGAGGAGGAAGAAGAAGAGGAATAAGACGAGGAGGAAGAAGTTAAAGTATTAGAATGTGTAGTGGTAGTCATAGGATGATGAAGAGAAGAAGGATGAGAATGAGAATGAAAATTATTATTATTATTATTATTATTATTATTATTATTATGATATTGTAATGGAGGTATTTGAATTGGTATAGAATAAGGCATATAACTATTTGATACGACATAATGTTGTTGAAGATGTTGAAAATTTTGATGAAGGTGATGTTGATTATTATATTGATTTGCTGCATTATCACGTTGAATATAGATTTCTCTTATATGTTTCGCCAATTCTTCATATACTTCTTTTTCTTCTAATGATGAATTTCTCCAAAGTATACCGGTAACTTTTGATATAACTCTCATATTACATACTCCTACACGTTTGGCTTCTTTATGGACATTTTTTCGACAAAGAAGAAAAGCATTCGGAGATCTTTTAGGCATTTTATTCTTGGAATGAGCATCTAATACAAATTCTTCGGGATTATTGTGGTGAGGAGGAAAAATTTTATTTCTATCTAATTGACCAATTAAAGAATCGGCTAATCCATCAAATGAGAATTCAGCGACAGACATTTTTATTTTATTTTATTTTTTTTTTTAAAAGAAATTATGGTTTGGACTCTTATAGGATTTTTTTTTTTTTTTGAGAATTCCTGTTTTATGGATTTTAAAGTGAATATTCAAAGAAAATAATAAATTGAATTGAATGGGTTTATATAAAGAAAAACTCCTTTTAACCTTCTTTTTTTGTAAAAGTACAAGATTTTCGGATGGTCGTACGAGATTTATTTTTATTTTTATAATACGATTGCCAAGAAAAAAAAACATCACTACTAACACTCATTAATTCATTATTATTATTAATAATTTAATTTTATTAATTTTATTAATTTTATTATTAATTTTTTTATTATTACGTATTATTATATTATTTATTAACGTATTATTATTATATTATTAACGTATTATTATTATTACTATTATTAACGTTAATTATTATTATTATTATTGTTTATTATTATTATTATTATTATCCACCAACCATTATTAAATAAATTAATGACATCAAGAAAACGTGAAAATATTACATTTTTAATTATAATGACTATACTAATTAGGTCACAATGTTTGTTAACATACCCATAAAAGTAAATTTCATTCTTAACATAAACAGAAATAATATTATGATAAATTATGATTATTAATCTCGGAGCAAATTGGAAATTTAATTAATCAGGAGAACAGAAATACCATGTGACTTTTAATATATAAGCAGATTGATTTCTCAGATTATTCAATATTTCCCTAATGTCTTCTAAAGTTGTAATCTACGGTGGAACGGGTCAATTAGGAACCGCTGTAATTTCCCATTTCAAGATACATAATTGGGTATTTTTTTTTTTAATAATAATGATAAAATAATTGAAAAATAAAAATAATACAAAAAAAAAAAAATAATTCAATAAAAAAAAATAATAAAAAAAAAAAAATAATACAAAAAAAAAAAATTAAGGAATTTGGAATTTAACATATCATTAACATAATTTTTATTTTAGGAAGTAACATCAATAGGAACTCGACCAAATGCAGAAGCCAATCATAATATTGTTGTTTCAGCTAACGACTCATTAGAAGTTCAAGGTGAAAAAGTTTTAAATCAAGCAAAGGAACAATTAAAAGGTGGAGAAAAATATGATGCAATTTTAAATGTTGCTGGTGGATTTGCTATGGGAAATGCTGCGAGCGAAGGTTTATTTTATTATTTTATTTTATTATTTTATTTTATTATTTATTTATTATTTATTTATTATTTATTTTATTATATATTTCATTTCTTAAAAAAATATAAAAAATTTACTTTTTCTTTTTATGTTTTTTTTTTAATAGAATTTTTGAAGAATTCTGATCTAATGATTAAAAAAATACTTTATCCTTCATTAATTTCGGCTCAATTAGCAGCTCATCATTTGAAAGAGTACATATTCCATTTCATAATAATAATATTATTATTATAAAATATATAGATAATAATAATTATTATGGAGAGAGAAATTTATTATATCTGAATGTTGTCAAAAAAAAAAAATTAATTATTTCACATTAATATTAGAGAAGGAGTCTTATCATTGACATCAGCTGCGGGAGCTGCGAATCATAATGCTACACCCGGTGAATATATTTATTACTTAATTCCTGATAAATAAATAAAATTAATTAATATTAACATAATATTTAATAATTTATAATAATAATAGGTTTTATTGGTTATGGTGTAGCAAAAGCTGGAGTGATTCAATTAGTTAAAAGTTTATCAGAAAAAGGAAGTGGTTTGCCAAAGAATGTTAAAGTCACTGCCATTTTACCGTAAGTAAATTATTATATATACACATTTATAGATTTTTTATTGGGTGGAGAATCGCAATTATAGTTTTATATTTTAATTTTAATCTAGTTTAATTTAGTTTAGTTTAGTTTAACTTTATTTTTAATTTATGTAATTTGATTTAATTTTATTTTACCTTTATTTTTATTTTTATCTTTTATTTTAACTTTATTTTATTTTAAAGTGGAACCATAGATACCGCAGATAATCGACAAAATTTTCCTAAAGCTGATTTTTCTAATTTCATTCCACTTGATAAATTGACGAAGTAAGTTTTTTTTTTAATTAATTTAATAATTATTTTAATACTATTTTTAAGTAATTTTATATAAATCAATTAATAAATTTTTATCATTATCATCAAATCATCATTATTATCATTATTATTATTATTAGTCATTTATATGGTTGGGCTTCAGGTAGTGTTAAAGTAGATCATGGAAAGATAGTAGAAATTGTCACTAAGAAAGGTGTAACTACGTTTACTACTTTAAAAGGTGATAACGATGGTGATGGTAAAAGCAATTAGAATTTTTTTTTTTTTCTTTTTATGGTATGAATATTATGATGATTAATGATGTTATGTTATATTTTTAATATCTTTTTTGATACTTTATTAAATAAGTATAAAGTTATTTTAAAACTAATATTATTTATAATTCTATTTATTAAATAGCAAAAGTTTAGTTTTTGAGACTTCGGAAGTTTTTATATATTAGATACATGTAACAAAAATAGTTATTATTATTTTTTTTTTTGGTTTATTATGTTTTTACCATAATGAAAACTTTTTTGTATAAAGATTTCACGGTGTTTTGGTCAAAATAAACTATATTCAACAATTAAATATAGTTTTCGTTCTGCTAACCCGTAAATACCTTGAAATAGACGTTTTTTTAATAATATAAACTCAATTTTTTTGTGTACTTTAGACTTGATGACGTAATTTTAATTTTAGCTTTGGTTAAGGTAAACTTACCTTTTACGTGATTAAGAGAAGTGGTAAGGAAAGGAAATACTCGGATATTAATTTCGTTACGCTGGCTTACAAATATAAAGAGATGTATTTATAAATTTTTCCATATTTTTAATATTTTCATCAAATTAAATTAAATTACCGTTAAACGACTAAATTAAATTGTTTATCAAGTATGAAGATACTTAGATATTAATTTTTACTATGCTAGCTAGGAAAATTTATATATTTTTTAGCATTTTTTTATAATAATAATTCATTCGTAAGTTTTTTTTTTTAAAAAAAAAACTTTTGTAACATAAATTTAAATACTTTGATAAAAAAATAACGAGAGATTAATTTACATCTCATTTTTCATAAAGCAAGCTTGAACCTTTGAGAAGTTATGAATGTTTTCAAATGAGAATTATTCTTACCATTATTACTATTATTAAATAATCTTTATTTAATTTTATGGATGTCTATTATATTCGCGAAACTTAACTCGCATCGAAAGATTCACATGACCGATAAATTATCAATTGCGTCACATGATGAATTCTAACTATTATATTATTTATCACCTTATCCTATAGAAAAATGAAATATTTTATCTTAAATAAAAATGAGAAAATACTGAACATAAAAAATATAAATCGGAGTTAAACTATCGTAGTTATTCTTATCATGCGCCAATTAAATTACTTTAAGATTTTTGCTTATTTTACATAAGATATTTCGTATACTTTTTTACTATATTAATATTCTCTCAATGTTCAATGTCCGTGTCCGTAAACAAAACCAACTATATTAACTATATTTATAATAATAATATAAACATTAGTCTAATTATAATTATAATAAACATAAACATTAGTCTAATATATACGTAAATAAACAAATAAATATTGTTATTGTATATGTACTATGTACGTACATTATATATATATATATTACAATACTGTATAAATAATTTACTGTAATATAATATATATATATATACACATATAATGCTGCATAATAAAAAAGCATAAAGAATTTTATTTAACTTAAAAAAAAATCTTAGAACTTATGGTTTATGTTATTAAAGGGAAGAAAAAAAAGTCGAGAGAAAAAAAAAAAAAAACGAAAAATTATTTGCCAGAGAAAATTATTTGACCAGAAAATTATTTTTCCAAAGAAAGTTATTTTACCAAAGAAAAAACGCGACAATTTAAAGGAAAATTATAGGAAACCAAATCCATTCATTAGATCAAATGAAAAATTATTGGGATAATTTACATTATTCTGACGTCTACATCTTTTTTTGTATCGTTGGTATCTTTTGTATCTTTCATTAATAAAATTGACTTCGTTCGCCATCAAGTCAAACGTTCTTTTTTGGTTCGATGTTGCAGAATTCCATAGATCATGACAAATATCTTTTAAAGATGTTGTAAGTGGAACAGTTATTATTTTTGAAGAAAATTCCAATTGTATAAAAAATGCTGTTTTACCACTTATATACACTTTCCTTCCTCTCATATAATCGATAATATCTTGAGCATTTAATGGGGGATATTCTAATAATGATTTGAAACTCATTTTTTGATTATAAAGATTATAAAATTAATTCCCAAAAATCAAAGAAGTTCTAATGTATATGTATATATGATTATTATATTTCTTAATATAATATATTTCTTGATATAATATATTTCTTGATAATATTTATTAAAATAAATAAATTTAAAAAAAAAAGATTGAAGGGCTGGTAAAAACAATTCCTTTATATATAACTTGTGATTTATTAATTCTCTTTTTTAATCTTTATGAATTATATCATATTTATAATAAATATATTAAATTATTATTCACTGTAAATAGTTATTCAATTCGTGATTCCTTTACTGTATAGTTAGCGTCATAAAATAATTAAAGTTATTTAAAATTTTACTCTTCTTTACCAATTTTCACCAATTTACATAATATTATATTACGTGATTTCTTTTTACATCCATTGGATCTTAATTTTAATATCTAAAATATAAGTTTTCCAATAACGGATTCTGTATCCGAAAATTATTTTAGTCACCAGCGCGCGAACAAAATTATTATTTTAGAAGTTAAACCAATCATGTAATAATCGAAACGATGAAGTAATCATTTACAATGACAAAATATATAATCTTAATGCATTGTATTTGATTGTTATTTCCATTACTGTTCTTACTTTCAGATTAAAGATGATGATGAGAAAAGATTGTATCATCTAAACAATGAACACACAATAATTATTATAAATATTAATTGAAATAATAAAAAAAATATTATAATAATAATAATAATAATAATAATAATAATAATAATAATAATATGTATTAAAATAAATGAAAAAATTTAATTAAAATAATATATATGTTGAAAGGGCTGAATATTTGTATTCCTATTTATGGGTATTATTATCGACTTATTTCGTAACAAATTTAACTTAATCAAGACAACAATAATCATTAAGTAAATGAGTTGAGTTCGAATTTTTCGTGGTGTATAACTTTATCATTTTATTTTTAACTTTATTATAATTATTTGGATAAATATCATTAAGTAATAATATTTATCTGTCATTTCATCCTTTGGAGATATACCTGATAAATTAAATTAATTAGCTATTTAAAGGTGATTAGCGGTTAAATGCCCCCCAAATTACATTTGCCAAATATCTCAATTATTCGGCATTGCACTCCGAAAACTATATTTCCTCTCATTTATTAATGTTCATTATAAGAACAAAAAAATTGATTTGATTAATTAAACTGCATGTGATAACCCTAACTAGTCTAGTAATTAAATTATATTATTATACATTATATTGTATATATTGTCCAGTTTACCTTTTTCATTTGTTAATTTTTGAGTTGCATAATCATCAAATCTTATCATTTTATTTTTTTTTAGATTTAAAGTTACAATATTATCTTTTTATTATTTTTCATTATTCTCTTTAATATCATAAAAAACTATAATAAGATATCTATTAAATTAAATTAAATTAAATTAAATTTAATTATATTATATTATATTATATTATATTATAAATATTATCTAAAAATCCATTTATTATACTATTACAATTGATTACCATTAATCATAAATCTTTAGATGAACATAAATATACATTATCAATATTATCAATATTATTAATATACAATAAAATAAATTATATGAAATTTTTTAATTATGAATCTCACCATTCTCCTCATTTCCCTCATTCTCGTCTTGTGTATTTCCAGATATTTTCATTACCCGATTTCGAATTCTCCTTTTATAAAAAATAAATGCACCAATACTAATCGTTATAATAAATATTAAACCTGCCCCTATTCCAATTCCTATTGCTAAACCCTTTTTTGATTTTGAAGGTGAAGGTGAAGATGTAGATGAATTATAATTAGGATCAAAAGATGTAACCCATGTGTAATTTGTTACATCCAAAATGTAGACTTCAGAGATATAATCTTTTGATGGACCTGAATAATTTTTTAATTAAATAATAATTTAAAATATAATAATAATAATAATAATAATAATATATAATAATAATAATAATATACAGTATAATAATATATAATAATAATATATATATATATATATATTTCACTTACTATATCCAAATGTTGTTATCATATAATTGTTATATAAATTTGCCGTATGACCAAACATGGGTGGAGGAGAATTAGGTTGAGAATTATTTGGAATTGACCATTCAAAAGGATAAACATTCGTATTCAATACAGCTAAATTTGGAGTAACTTCTTGAAAATTATTTGAACAACCTCCAGTCATAATAATATATCCATCATTAGCTATAAATTATTATATAAGAATTATTATTAATTAATATTAAATATTATTATGTAAGAATTATTATTAATAAATAATAAATATTATTATATAATAGATATTATTATAAAGCATTAATAAAAATTTCATCATCAATTAAGTATTAGTGTAGTGAAATACATTACTTAATACAGAAGCGGCCTTCATCCTTGGTAGAACTCCAGATTCGCCTTCTGTGTTCTTAAAATTATAATTAAATTAAATAAATTATTAAATTAAATTTTATTTTAATAATATTATTATTATTTTAATATTTTTTTTTATAGATTTTAATATAAATTATTGTAAATAAAAAAATACCATTAATGTCCATTTAGATAGCATTGTATCAAATAATCTAATCTATTTAAATAAATATTAAATAATTAAATAATTAAATATAATATAAATATCAAAATTAATATAAAACTCATCAAAAATAATGAAAATAACAAAAATAATTAAATACATAATGTGCAAAAAATATTCATAAAAATTGTTTCTTACCTGATAAATGTTAATCATAGTATAGTCTGTTGTATTACCATCATATTTTTGTCCACCAATATAAACAATAGTTCCGGTTGGTAATAATTCGGCTACATAATCTCTACGTGAGTTAGGTATTTCAACAACACTTATAAATTTCCAAATTCTTGAAGGAATATTAAATACATTCGTATCATTTAAAAGTTGACCAGTAAGTTCCGTTTTTATTGGTGTCGATCCGGTTATATCGACTTCAGTAGTGGAATTTGTAACCTTATATCCACCAAAAATATAAATATTTCCTAAATTATCAGGTATTCCTTTCATTTGTTGTCTAGGTAAAATATTACTACTACTATCTGGTAATAACCATTTATTAGTTGAATTATCATATATATACATGGGATCTGTTAAATTATAATTTTCTGTATCAATGTCTTTCTTGGCTCCTCCATATAAAAAAATTGTCGAATCGATACCAATAGATGCTGCTGACCATATATATTTAGGAAGATTACTTTCTGGAATTAATGTCCAAGCTATATTTGATTTATTAAATTGTTTGGACAAATCAAGATAAAACATTTCATTTGTACTTGAAAGGTTTGAATAATATCCACTAAATATAAGAAGTCGATGATCCATAATAACACCATTATGATATACTCTCTGTGATGGTGAATAACATAAAATTGGTTTAAGTAATATAATAATTAAATTAAATAATAAAGGAAGTTGTAGGAGAAGATTAAACATTTTTATGCTGAAAAAAAAAAAAATAAATAATTCCTTTTTTTTATTACTATATTATAAGAAATATTCGTACAGATGATATGTAAAAATAATAATTATTATCTTTCGAGGAGGATTCAGAACGGATTAATTAGTTTAATACTTTGAGAATAGAAAAATTAAATTAAAAAGATGAAGGTATTTGTAAAATATAAATAATTTACTTTCATAGTTATAATAAAATTCCAAATAAACAGTCTAATCAGTATGTTACACGAACCCAATTTTTTCCCATGCCTTCCCAAATTTAACAAAAGAACAATATACCCCAAAATACATTACGAGCCGATTGGTTCGGATGATGCATTCCGATTTTTTGAAACACTACTCTCCCATAAAAAATAAATAAAGGAGATACTACATAACCATTTTTTATGGTTTGATTTGTTGTTTAAGTAATAACTACCCTAGGTAATAATAAGTATCATATTTGTTTGCGGATATGCTTTATGGGAAAGAATATTATAACTATATAAATTTACGATTTAAAGATATAAAATATGATACAAAAATCACAATTATCCTATAAAATACATGTCTGCATTGTAAAAATTTACAAATTTTTAAATGAGGATACATTTTAGGGGTACTTTGCCTGGCGGATACTTTGGCCAGCAAATTAATCAAAAAGCACCTGAATTTTAAAAATTATTTCCCGCTAATAATAAGATCCTCAAGTATCTCAACATGATTTTTTATCAAATGTTTAGTTTCTCTATCTATCAAAAATTTAATTGGCCTTTAATTTATAGTAAAACTATATTTACATATACTATGAATCAAAAAATCAGGACCAATTCCTTTCCTAAGTTACGTTTTTGAAATTTTACCTATTGCTGCATCAAAAATGTAACACGCATACATTAAATGTTCTACGCTACGCTCCGGAAAAAAAAATATTATAGAAAATATTGTTTTTTTAAATAAAAATATAATAATTTTTCTATTAAATTTTATTAAACAAGGAAATGAATTTCTTCCTCAATTACTATAACTTATAAAATCAGCCTAACGAAAGAGAGATTTAGTAACTAAAATTCAAGTAAAACACTTCGATTACATAAAGCTAGTATATGTGACCTTAACTTTTGAATATAAAAAGATATATCTTTTTTTTTTTACATATCATGTAATTTGCGGGCCATAGGATCACCCCTGTACAAAGTACCCTTTTTGAAAATTTGAATGTTTTTAAAATACCCAGGTACTTTACATGGTATAAAATATATTTCCTTATTTTTAATTTCTATTACTTGTTTACAATAACCCCCTTTTTGTTTCGATGTAAAGTATCCCGGTATAATGAAATTTGTTAAAGACCCATGGTACTATTGCCACACAATGTGGTATTTACTTGACTTCAATTCTGGCAGTTACACGATAATCTACATTACTATAATTAGTACCCCATTAATTAATAATTTCTAAAACCAAGTTTCTATTGATGCAATTTCGGTAAACATGTTCTTCTATTAATGCAATTTCGGTAAAACACGCTTCGCGGCCAATAACTAATAAATTAATACAGTTTTTAAAAAAATAATGTGAATATTTGGTGTAAGAAATAATTAAATATCTTACAATGAAATAAATATCATTTGTCAAAGCAAATATATAGTATATATATATTATTACCAAATTTAGATATCTGATGAAGAAATGATTGACATATTTACATAACATTTACTACAAACTAAAACATTAAAGGGTGAGACAGATGTGTTATTATTATTATTACTAACAATTATTTATCTTTTTATTATTGAAATGACTTTTTTTTTTTTTTACTTTGTGACAAAAAGTCAACAAACAAAATAATCTCCCGGCTTCGGCTTCACAAATCCTGATGAAAACTTGTTATTAGATATGCAAAATTACTTGATGTTTTGCATATTTTGCATTCGCCCTCCCACCAAAAAATCATCACTTAAAAATAATGTCTCATATGTATTAATTAATCGATAAATATTATTTATTTTATTTATTTATTTATTTATTTATTTGTTATTTATTTATTTGTTATTTATTTATTTATTTTCCACGGACGCCTATGCTTTTATTTTTGATATTCCATTGAAACTGAAACTTTGATTATGAATGATTGAAACTAATTCCTTTGTATATGAAATGATTTAAAAAAAATTAAAGAACGATAACGATAATTTTTTGGCATATTTTATTATAAACTTATAAAAAACTAAAAATCTTAATAACGAATTTCTTTCGAAATTATTGTTTACCATATTATTTGCATATAAGAAATTATACATAATTATGATTGATGATGTTTTTTGATGAACGTGAACGCTACTCTTAGAGATAAATAAGGCGAATAAATAAATAATAAATAATAAATAATAAATAATAAATAATAAATAAATGAATGAATGAATGAATGAATGGAAAGAGAAATAAATAACGAAGATAAAAAAAAAATCTATTCTATAAATCGAAAAAAATTACGATAAAAAAAGCCAGACTTTGACGAAAAAAAGTTTAAATTTCGAGAATATGAAAAGTGCTCATAAACAGAATTAATTAAGATTATTCGGTATATTCAGTATATTCGGTATACTCTGTACGTTCTGTAGATTTTGTAGATTTTGTAGATTTTGCAAATTTTGTAGATTTTGTATATTTTGTAGATTTTGTACATTTTGAATATTTTCTATAGCATCAAAATTGGGTATTCTATTCTCTATGCTACTAAAATACATAACTATCTCATCAATTTCCTCTGGTGTTAAAGGTATTTCGTTATTAGATAATGCCGGTGATATAGATGTAGCCGTATCATGTTTTGGTTGTTTTTTTTCCGATTGAGTTAATTTTGTAACTTCCTCAGATATGGAAAAAACGTAGGGTTGATATAGTTCAATTTTGCTATCACCTTTAGAAGATGGACGGTATTTAAATCCTGGGTATCGATGAGTGTGTAAATTTACAACCCTTGCGGCTAATTTTTCATACTGTTCTTTTTCATCTTGCGACGCTTGTCTCCACAACATTCCCGTAACTTTACTGATCACTCTCATATTGCATATTCCTCTTTTCTTTGCTTGATTGTGAACATTTTTACGACATATCAAGAAACCATTTGGTGGGCGAGGAGGTCTGTTAGTACCATTTCGTTTTCTTGATGGGTTAAGTAACTCTTCCGGTTTATTCAAAGTAGGTGGAAAAATAAGAGATCGATCTATCTTTTGAATCAATAAATTTGCCAAGTCATTTAAAGAAGAATTTTGTAGAGACATTTTTATTTTTGAACTTGAATAAAGTTGAGAGTGTCTGATGAAAATATTGACTTTGAACTCAGTATTTATACTTTTTTTTAATAATAAAGTCAAGACTTAAGTTTTTTTTATTTTTTTTTTTTTGTTTCAGAAAAAATTAAATGGGTGCAATTTCACAATGTATAATTTTATACATTATCGTTATATATTCTATTATAAATATAAAATATAAATATTATATATATGCATTGTGTATTTTAAATAAAATCATGTATGTGTAAATAAATTCCGATGACTCATATATATTATATGTGCATATGACCCCAATATATCCATATTGTTTTCTTTTTTTTATTTCTTTTTATTTCTTTATTTTAAAAAAAAAAATTATATTACTGTTTCAGAATATCATATGATTATTTTACATAATCAATGTACAAAGTTAGCAAATTTCAAAGACGCGTCCAATTAAGTTCAATAGTAAAAATAAAATATTCAATATTACAATAAATGTTACGCGTGATAATGTTTTGTGTCACAATATAATAGAATCCAACATTGTTCTATCACGTAAGGGTTAAAAGACAAAAAGAGTGAATGGATAAAAAAGGTGTTTTAAAAGAATTTTTTTTTAAATCAAAGTATAAATTATAAATTATAAGTTATAAATTATTAATTATATGAATCATTGTAAAATTATATAATTATAAATTAAACATTGAAATTTATTTTATCATTCTTATTTCACTCTTTCTCTTTATTGCAATACTATCAGGCATATAAATAATAATCCCGTATCTTTAATTTCTGAATTTGGAATAAAAGCAAATTAAATATTATTTGATAATATTTTGTGGATGAATATTATGGTATGATGCTTTTATTCTTTCTTTGTTATTATGATACGGAAACCCACAAAAATAGCCGTAAATAGTCCAATAAAAAAAAAATAAAGAGAACAACAAAAATCTATAAACAATAAACAACAAACATCAACAACGACAAAAATAATTTACTCCGTAAATTATTCATTATAATTACTGATTAATGTTGTATTCGAAACTTAATTAAAGTTTAAATCATATGCAATCGTAAAAATATTCCAAGAAAAATAATCCCTAACAGCCACGTATAACATAATTACGTCACAAGTTACTACAAATTATTCGTTTCAATATTCCATTTTTGTTTTTATTGCATTAATTGTGCCATTATTCATACAATTATCCATACAATTATTATTATAATTATTTTTTACCTATCATTTTATTATCCAAAAAAGAATCGGACCGAATATTGGAGTATCTCACGTGATAAATAATGTACGAATATTTTTTGGCGGCAAAAAAGTAACATTACGTTATTATTTTCTGACCAAATATCATTTGATTGTAATGTTGCTCATTAAAATGTTATGTTACAAAGAATAATAAATAGAATAATATATATATAAAATAAATAAAAACCTATTTAAGAAAATTGGTTACGGAATGGTTTCTTCTATTACAGGTTAAATCGTATATCACCCAAAATATCCATCTCCATATCCATATTTTCGAAACAGCGACAAAAAAAATAACAATGATTGATTATTTTTATATTTTCGAAACAGCAACAAAAAAAAATAACAATGATTGATTATTTTCATTTTTTATTTTTTATTGAGAAAAAATTACATCATGGATTATTATTATTTATTATTATTTCTGGGAATTATGTATTTCTAATGTATCTCTAAATGTATTTTCTGATTCATTTTTCTATTTGTTATATTATTATATCGTAATACGGCATAAAAAAAATCCTCCACAAATCAGATGTCAATTGTTTCGAAATCTAAGATTACGAATAATTTTAACAAAGAATTTCCAATTAAATGAGTTTACCGAGGATAAATTATCGAGAATAAAAATATAAAATACTAAGATATACTATACTAGAATATATTAAAATAGATTAAATATATATAGAATATACTAAGATATACTAAAGTATACTATACCAAGAATATATATATATCAAGACCAGATATTCGGAAATAAAAAAAATATATATATATAATTTCACTAACTTTAAATGTACTTAGATAGAACAAATAACGTCAGAGTTTTTTTTTTTTTTGTATAATAATTAGTAATAATAATTGCATTATCTTATAATATTATGAAAATTATTTATAAATAGAGATTTTTCTGAATTTCATTTTCATTTTGTTGATCACAATATGAGTTGCTAAATTATTTATATACTATCAATATACTATTTAATATATATTATTTATTATATATAAATATTTATATATAATATTTATATATATGACACAATACAAATCTTGGCATAAAAAGATAATAAATTAAAATATTTTTTCACGACTAAAATATTGTGAAAACATAAGATACCAAGAGAGATGTTGTTACGTTTTACGCAGTTCTTTGTTTAGTTTCGCACTATAATTTTTGGTTATTCTTTGTTAATTTTTTCTCGATAACTGTATTTTATCAATTATTATTATTATTATTTTATCGTTTTATTCATTCATTAATTTATTTTATTTTTTTTATTTATTTTTATTTATTTTTTTATTTATTTTTATTTATTTTTTTATTTATTTTTATTTATTTTTTTATTTATTTTTATTTATTATTATTTTTTTTTTTTTTTATTATTTATCTATTTAAAATTTGTCATTTATCTAATTATTATTTGTTATGTATTATTACCATTTGTTATAAAATTTGTTATTTATTATTGCCATTTATTCATTTATAAAAAGATTTGCAGTAAGAAATGCATGCATGAAAGCAACAAGTTGACTTTGGCAAAGGGTTTTGTTTTCCGAATAAGGCTAAACTTTTATTTTACACACAAATTGAATTTTTTAATTTTAACTTTCGCTTCTCTGAATGGCTAAAATTTTGCTTAAGGTCAATTAATTATTAAGGTGTGAACATGAGATGACAAGTTTTACCTCCGAACCCCTTTCCTTCCCCCCAAAAAAAAATTAAAGATGGTTAGTGAAAATTAACAAGTTCACCAAATGTCTCTGCCTAAAATTAACCCCCACCAATAAAACTACCCCATGCGACATGTCGCCAGCGTGATATTGTTAAATAACCGAAATGCATTGTGTTATAAAAAAGTTATTCATCATCATTGTTTAAAAGATATTTCATTGTACAAACTTGTGTACACAATAAAATCATCATTATAATGCAATGTTCAATTAAATATTTATTGTAAATTATCTTTAAAGTATAGTTCAAAGGGGCCATAAATGCAAAACAATTAAAATGTTTTAAAACAAAAATTTTTGAATATCAATGAATGGGTTATATGATATAAATATGGTCTTTTAATAATATAATTAAATAATTATATTTAAATAATTATATTTATTATTTAAATAATTATTTTTAAATAATTAATATTATTTTTTTATTGATTTTTGTCAACAACAAAATATTTTAGATAATTTTGCATATTAAATAATTCTGCATATTTTCTATGTCATAACTTTTTTCTTTCTATTGAAATAAAATAACAAATAAAAAAAAAATGAAACAGATTTTAACCAATTAACCAATTTTTTTTTTCTAAAAAAACAACAATGTTCTAAATGAAGTTATTGTTCAGTTTGTTCGCCAAGATACTACGGTAAAAATGAAAGGTATAAAAAATGCGTAAAGATCATTTATGTGAAAAATTCATTTGTCCGAAAAAGAAGTTATTGTTCAGATTGTTTGCCAAGATACTACGGTAAAAATGGAAGGTATAAAAATGCGTAAAAATCTTTTATGTGAAAAAATTCATTTGTCCGAAAAAGAAGTTATTGTTCAGTTTGTTTGCCAAGATACTACGGTAAAACGAAAGGTATAAAAATGTGTGAAAATCATTTTATCCGAAAAAATGAAAAATTAAAAATTGATACCATTGATTATATCATGTGATCTATCATTATCATTATCATTATCAAGTAATCTATCATCATTATCATTATTTTCATTGTTTTCATTATCATTATTATTTTCCCAATTTAAGCCAAAATTTATGTCGATTGGTTGTTGTAGATTTACTGTTAATTGTAGATCGATTGCTGGATTTATTATAGAATTTTGGTGGTTGTTCACTGTGGCGGCGGTATTTGCATTTCTTATATATGGTTGATGTCGTATATTATTATTTGTGTTTTGATTAATAATTTCATTCAGTAAAGCATATCGATTCTTCTCTTGCGGCGATAATCTTCTCTCCCAAATATTTGCAGCTGCGCACCGTAAAGAAGAATTAATTATTGATTGGTCATAATTGTGAACGATAGACAGATGAGAATTAATTATAATAAACTGAATATTATAAAATAAAATATCGATCGCTCGGAGTCGACGAAATCGTGAGAAGGGCCCCCGTTGCGTAATTCTATCACTAATTGATCGATCATCTAACATATTTAATCTGTTAGGGGTCGGTTCGAAAATATAATCTATCATAATTGAAGATAATCGCTGGATTGTCATTTTGATAATTATAACAATTAATTTTAATTCGGAGGGATATAACAATGATAAATGAAATAGTTATAAAAGAAAATATCATTGTGGTAGAAAAGTTCCCCCTTATATGTGAAAAATTTGTTAGTAATTTAGAAATAATTTTTAATTGGTTTTTTTTTGAGAATACTACAAAAGGTAATCGGATGGTATTCATCGAGACATTGAAATTTAACGTGAGTAAATTATTTGTTATCATTAAAAAAATTTAGGGATTAAAACATTTTTTATTCCTGAACCAATAATAATTTTTAATTTCAAGGTTATGTAAACAGATTACATCATTATTAAATTAAAAAATTTTTTTTTTATTTACCTTCTTTGCCTAAAGAGGATTAGCTATTTATTATATATCTATTATTATATTTATTATATTTATTATATTTATTATTATAATTAAGATAATTATACAATAATTACAATAATTTACGTTTCATGAATATGTCCTTTTATAAAATCATACAATATATTACGTAAGAAATGTCGATTTAATCAAACAATGCATATTTTCAATTGCGTATTCGTTCGTTTATTGTTTATTGGTTAAATATTTATTGTTTTAAAGATATATTTATTAATCCGTGTTTTGTGTTTGTTTTTCTTGAATCGTAAAATATTATACTATGTTAAATTAAGAAACTATAAAATAGAGAGGGGTGAATGAAATCTTAGAGGTGCAAAAAGTATACAATAATTCAATCTTCACCTTTCATCATACCGAATATACAAATATGTCGTATATCAATGAAATGCGCAGTTTTTTTGTTTGTTTAATGTAAAGAAAATCATATGTGTAAACGATGGCATGGTTTTTAAATTTGAAATTTGTGCGACTCTTTAATTCCTCACTTGAAAAAAAAAATGCCAAAAACGAAAATAAAACTAAAATTAAATGAATTTGAAGGCATTTTAATGAATTGACACTTGAATGAATTTGAATATGGTTCCTTTTCATTCATACCAAATTGGTTCTTACTTATATTTTTATTTATATTTTTATTTATATTTTTTGCTAAAAAGAAACACACGTTTTACATTGACAAGCCTTTTTTTTTTAAAAAAAAAAAAAAAATCTCCTAAAATGGTCGAGAATGACAATAGTAAACTACAGCTCAATTTATAAATGTATATTTAGAGTCAAAGTATACAGAATATCCGAAACTTATACAACAATGATGCAACACATCAACGTGACCAGATGCAGAGTTGAATATGTAAGGGTTGCCTGTAACAAACTTTAAGTCTAAGTTAATGATAAATAATTTTTGAAATAGAAATATTTGAAAGTATTAAATTAATTAATCAATTAATTTTTGATATTATTATCGTGCCTGAAATTAATTAATTAATTAATTGTGAGTAAGATGATAAAATCAGAAATCCAAATTTGAATTTTATTAATTTATTAATTTTCTGCCTGCAATGATTGTAAAATCATCACCAATTATTTCATTAATTATTTTAATGTTTTAAATAATAATATTATTAAATTTATTAAATATTTTATTATCAAATATTATAATCAAAAATTACAAATACTTTAAATATTAAATATTATAAATATTTTCAAGTACTTACAAATATTTTTAATTGCTAGTCCGCCTATTTATATATATAAAATAGTATAAAATAGGGGCAAATTTATATATTTCAAATGTGTACTTAATATAATATCGACATTGTTAAATCAGTGTTATTATCCAATAAAAATAAAACACATGATCTTATTAAGATACATGATTTTCAGGTGATCGAATAAATTTCACGTGTTATAAATATTCGGTGACAAATATTAAAAATTGATATTCGAAGGTTGTGATACTCGGTGATAAATACACTACCCTTGAAAAATTCTAACCTAACCCCTGCGGTATAGGTTATGGTGTTCAACACCACTGGTGTGATTTAAAGTTTCGATAATTATTATGATGGAATGAATCAATATTTGATATTTGATAATCTCACTTGAATAGCTATTCAACAGCCGTCGATATAATAATGGTTATCCTAATAATTTTGGAGAAATAACTCCATTTTTTTTTCTAAATTATCATTTATTCTTTTGTATATTTTTTTCAGGGATATAATTGTTAAGTATTAAGCAAATTTTGAGGCGATCATTATAGTAAAACTTTTGGATACCAACTGACAATTTATTTTTAGTTGCAATAAAATTTTTTTTATTTATTTTAATAAGAACGAAAGCGAGATTTGGCATGTATAATTCATAAAATTTGGTAATTTCGGCTGAAATTAATATTAATTTTGTCCAATGTTAATAAAACTTATTAATTTTTTATTTGGTTCTATTAGGACTTTCATATTTGTTTTTCATCACTATAGTTTTTTTATTAGTAAAAAACAACTAATTTATTGCATATATACTGTAATGAAGTTCTGAAACAAGGTTACAAGCTGAAAGTAGTTGTATTATTTGTTTTTAAGAAAAAGAGAATCGAAAAAAAATATTTATTTTACTGCGATTAATTAGCCCATAAATTTACTATTAATTTTTAAATTTTTTTTTAGATAAAATTTCTATTATCAATTATATCTTTTATATCTACAACATGTAAATAATTTATATCAATCATTAAATTTATATATTTCTGTTCTAATAATAACTTGTGATAATAAATCTGGCATACATTGATAGTAAAATATCTGTGTAAAACTATTGTGCCTTACATTTTGCAATACAAATGAAGAATGTAAAAAAAAGGGGAGAACTTGTAATATTCATGATAATATCAATAAAATATATGCTCCCGATAATAAATATTTATGTCATAGAGAAGTAGGCGATTATATGCTCCCGATAATAAATATTTTTGTCATAGAGAAGTAGGCGTAAAATGGGCAACAACATTTTCTAAAAATCTTTTTATTCGAATATAAGAAAAACTAGGTTATAAGAAACAGCTATTACAAAATATGGATAAACTTTTATCTACATATCTATATAAATATATATATATATATATCAGTTTTTTTTTAAGTTTAGGTATTATATTAATTAATAAGCAACAATAAACAATAATGAAAATAATAAAAAATTTAATTTACAAAATAATAAATTAATAATTGTTAAATGGCGTAAAACAAAGCAACAGCTGGTGGTTAACTTGTAGCTAACTTGTAATAAATATCCAAATATTTACTGGTAATTTCTATTTATCTTTAAATACTTTTTAATCAATCTTTAAATAATTTATTTTAAAGTTTGTTTGTTTGTTGCAAAAAGAAAATAAAATAGTTATATTTGGAACACTTTCAATTTTTTTCAATTTGTAATTAAAATTATAAAAAAAAAAATTTAACAATAATTAATATATAAATTAAATTTAAATGACTGAATGTTTTATAAAACTAAACTTTAAATTTTTCTGTCTTATCATGACTCATAAAAACTCATAATAAATGAAACAGGTTTTTTATCTTTAGATTATAATTTTTATTATTGTATTATTCGGCCGAGATAATAATAATTAGTTATTTTAATGTAATGTATACATTAATTGTACAAGGGTTTACTATAATTATTTCTTATCGATTATTTCATTTTTATAAATGTTTTTGTATGTGTAATATGTGTAATATAAAAATAGTTACAAATTTATTTTAATTAACCGTCTTTATAAAAAAAAAAAAATTTCGTATTAAAAAAGCCATCCTTTTTTTATGAGTTTAATATTTTGAAACTTATGGTGTTCTACATAATAATTGTATATCAGATATAATCATTAAATTAATTATATGATACTTCTTTTGGTGATTAACAGTAACAATAGTATCAATTTAAATTAAAATTAAATATAATACATAAATTTGACTTTTTCTTAACAACTTTTAATGGCTTGTCAGTGGGCTAATACTTATTATCTTAACCTAATCCAGAGGCTTATAGGTTTTCTTTTATTAAAAATATTTGTTACTCATCACCATATTTTATTCATGTGACATTCATGCGGGCGGATATCACATGACAAATGTACAAGTTGTTTTGTGTGAAACTTTACAATTTAATTATGATCAGCTAGTTCAAACGTATGATGAACAAATTTCTAATTCCGACTTTATTGTCTGTAAATATTTCTTTGTCAAAAAACCGAGAACGTCATTATTGTATTTTATAGAATTTACGCATTAAATTTACAGAATGTTAAAATTCTGGGGAATATGTTATTAGCATATATCATTTATTTATATATACAGTACATATATATATAAATTTCCAACGGACAGACATAATATAATGCCTCCGGAGATAATGCAAATCCTAAAAAAAAATTGCCTATTGTATTAATTTCGACACCATGCGTACATATTTATATAACAGATAACTGATTAGAAGATTCGTTAAAATCACCTTTAAAATAAAGTTATAATAAGGGTTGTCGTCAGTGGTGATTGTCACCACTGGGCAAAATTACATAATTCCCTGATCCTAACCCTAACTTTGTTAATTTTGCCCAACGGTAACTATCACCAACGATGAATGACAAGTTTACTTTTTTAAATTAAAATACACAATATTTGCATTTTTATATCAAAAATTAAGTCATAAACATATTTAATGGGTGCGGCTTTATAATTCAACCAACTCCTTATTAATAGTTTGAATTTTTTTAACGATATTTCATCACATCAAAAATTCTATTAAAAAAGATTACATATTTCGAAATTACGAAATAGCAACATAAAATATGAAATTCTTTTTATTATTTCTAGAGATTATGTATTTCTAAATGTATTTCCGATTTATTTCTATTTGTTATATTATTACATCCTAATACGACATAAAAACCCTACACAATCAGGTCAATTGTTTCGAAATCTAAGATTAACGAATAATTTTAAAGAATTTTCAAAATCCTTAGTTTTTTTTATAAAGAAATGAGGTTACCTAGATAAATTAAATATTACTAGAATATACAGTATTACTAGAATATATTACTAGAATATAGTAAAAATATATACCAAGACCGATATTCGGAAATGCACATTATAAAAGAATACAGTTTCACTAACTTTAACTGTACACTAGATTAAAAATGTGGAATGTTAGAACAAATAACGTCGCAGTTTTTTTTTTTTGCACAATAATTAATAATAATTGCATTATCTTATATATTATGAAAAATTATTTACAAATAAAGATTTTTCCGAATTCATCTCTCTCAAAAAAAAAAATTAGTTAATAAATTATTTATATAACATTTAACAATATATATATATTACAATGAAAAAATCTTGGCAAGACTTAAATAATAAAAAATTAATATATTTTATAAATATTTTTTTCACGATTAAAATATTGTGAAAATTGTGAAAGTAGTGAAGAAATAAAATACCAAGACATTTTACGCACGTAAATCAGAGAAAGTTCTTTGTTTAGTTTCGCATTATAATTTTTTGATTATTCTTTGTCAATTTTTGTATTTAGCAAATATTATTATTATTAACATTCTTACTATTTTAATAATTTTTTATATTATAATTTTATTTATTTATTTATTTATTTGTTTTTTATTTATTTTTATTGGTTTATTATTTGTCATTATCTTCGAAAGGATTTCGTTTTATAAGGCTAAGCTTTAATTTAGACTTTTAAATGTCGATTAATTATTTCCTACCTGAATTTTTAACTATTCATGCGACAATTGTTAAATATATTAAATATATCAAAATGGTAAATAACGAAGTTATTCGGCAGGCAACATTGTTTCATTGTACAAACGTTTTATACGCACACAAAAAAAAATAACACCTATTATTATAATGCAATGTTTATTTATTTAACATGTTAAATATTCATTGTAAATTATCTTTAAAGTATACATAAAATTACAAAGCCAAAAAAGCATGAATGCATAATAATTAAATGTTTCAAAAAAATTCGGATATCAATGATGATAAAAATGTGGTATTCAATTACTTTAATAAATATTTAAATGAATATTTATAAATATGAACATATAAAAATATTTAAATATAAATGATGGATTTTTTTGTTGTCAATTCTGTCAATAACAAATATTTAAATTATTCTACGCATTAAATGGTAAATTATTCTATTCTACATATTAAATAACTCTATACATCATAACTTTTTTTTTCGTTCATACATTTAAAAATCATCATATTCAATATTCATATTCTTAAAAAGAGTAAAATAGAATAATCTTATTTTTCCTATTGAAATAGAGAACGAATATCTCTTACAACACACACATTTTTTTTAAAAAAAAAGAAAACCATTTTTTTTTTTCAAAAAAATGTTCTATTACGATAAAATGAAAGGTATAAAATCATTTTATCCGACAAATGAAAATTGACCACTATAAAAAATTGATGCCATTGATTATATCATTATTTTCATTTTCCCAATTTAGGCCAGAATTTATGTCGATCGGTTGATGTAGATTGACTGTATTCATATGGGCTGATTTTGTTCCATTCGATTTTGTCACATAAAACCAGAACATCCCATCATATACAGAATTTTTTAAATGATATTTAACATGAATTCGTAATACAATAAAATAAAGCCAATAATAAGGTTAATCTATAGCATACAGTAAAAGTTTGTGAACTAGAAATTGTTCATTGTTTTCATAACTTTAAAATATATTTTAAATTGGTTCTAAATTGGTTTTTGGAATCATTTGAAATTGTTTGAATTTCGAAAGTACAATTTTTATGAATTATACGTGTTGCCCAAATCCCAAATCATTTGGGATTTGGGACGCCAAAATCCCAAATTACTAGTATTTGGGATTTGGGATTTGGGATTTCGGCAAAAAATACTAATCATAATTTGGGATTTGGGATTTGGGATTTCGGCATTTGGGATTTCGGCATTTGGATTTTGAATTTGGGTGGCAGGTATATTATGAATTGAGTATGTCAAATGAACCTAGTGAAAAGCTTAATTATGGTAATTTTATATATTATTAAATTTTATTTTATTCGTTAAAATATAACTAATTATTTAAATTATAGATAACTATTCAACAGGAACATTTAATGAAGATTATTCAAATTCATCTTGTATTGTGGCTACAAATGTATCAGGTGGTATAACATTTGTGTCATGGTATAATATAATATTATTGGAACATTATCCTACTAATGTTATAATGACACAAAAAAATTCAAAGGAGGAAAAATAATATTGAATACCCGATAATTATATTGTTGAAACTGAAATAGGAAAAAAAAAACTTTGTTGTGAAATAAAGTATACTTCAAATCAAAGAGTCAAATACTTTATTTTTTAGAAAGAAAATAGTACCAAGTAAAGTGTTTATAGTAAAAAATTAGTTACTGGTGTAATAATTGAATTTTTAAAGGTATTAATATTATATATGTATTTTGAATTTAATAAATTATCTAATAATATTTATATTTATTAGAATATTGATTAAAAGACAACAAAACTTTCAGGTCCTCGAATTTTTGAATTAGATATTGGAAAATTACATCAATGTCAACTAGAAATTTCCAATGAATCTATAACTTCTAGAAAAAGGCTTCTTTCTCTTATTCAATCTAAATTCAGACAAAGTAAACATTTTACTACTTTTGAAAAAGATTCAGAACAAACTCTTACATCTTTAATGTTAAAATACAATATGGTTACAAAAACTGGTCAACTACACTCCCCTGCCAAAAGTATCTGGTCACCTAAAAATTTGTATTTTTTAAGTAAATTTTTATTTGCTAATAACTCATGATCTAATTTATTAAAATAGATTAATTTTTTTTTATTTTATTTCTCTGATTTTGACCTTTCATATAATACCTTTTATGTTGAAATTAGATGAATATTTGTTAAAAAAAATTTAACTTAAAGAAAACTTTTCAAAATTCAAATTTTAAAACTATAACTTTATAATTATTCGATTTCAATAA